TCTTCCGATCTCCCCAAAACCCCAAAACCCCACTATTCCTAATAATAAAGCATATTGATATAAACATTAAAATAAATAATTTGCAAATGTAGCTGTTAAGAGAAAATATTTCCTAGATTTTATTCAGATTATTCAATTACATCGGTAATTAAGAGCTTGCAATTGAGCGTAAGAGAGAGGATCTCGCTAAATAGCCTAAATTTGAGCCATACTCTGCTTTTAAAAGAATAGCAATCATGGGCGACAAACTTGGAAAAAGAGATATTCTCAAATTCCTAAAGTAGTCCATTTTTTAATTCTATTGACACTAATTTAGATAAAATGAGTAGAACTATCCTGATGAAGATGATTGTAAATTCATCATTAAATACTATGACTCAGACAATGATGGCTATTTAAGCTTTCTAGAGTAAAATTAAATAACTAAATAAAGCATAGTTTCAATTACATTGTGCTGCCAAATGACAATTTAGAACTCAGAGCTAGAGCGACATAGCAGAATAATGAATATAATAAGGAAATAGATAGAAATATTGAACAAAAGCTATCCAGACTATTAATGATGTAATACATTTCCATTCAAATGATAACTTAGGGAGATAAATTTTCACATTTAAACAGAAAAAATTAAAAGAGAGCTTGAGTAGCTGAAAGGTTTTAGTACAGTTGTAGCTTTTCAAGTGATGGATATAAAGAAATTCAACTATCTTGATTGGGAGTCAGTTTTTGGATTTTTGAAATACTATGCTGGAACTTTAAAATCAGATTAGCCAACAAAGAGGAAGATCAATTCGATTTTCAGAAGGCTTGATGTGAATGCTGATCAAAAATTAGCATTTAATGAATTCGCTGAAGCAATAAAGCCAATTGATGTATACTTTACTGATGTAGATGATATCAATCTAAGGCAAGTAAGTCCAAGAAAGTATAGTCAGGCAGAATTAGCAGAATTTAAGAGGCAATTAAGATAAGAGCACAGAGAACATAAAAGTGCAGAAAGATCAAAGCCATTGAGAACATTTAAATCTATACTTAGTTCTAAGGATGTGAGGGCAATAAAAGAGCTTCAATCTCCTATAAAAAGATAGTAAAATGATATAATGATCCATAAAAATGAACAAGAGGATCAAGATTATTCCCCAATTAGGAAAATAAATTAAGACTAACCAATGAAAATAGATGATTTAAGTACTGTAAAGAAGTTTTAAGAGAAGAAAACAAGTGATATAATGCAAGGTGCTTAATCTACTCAGAAGATCCATTATTACAATTTTAATAATGAAAATTCTACTTAGAAAAACATTAGATTTTCATCAGGAATTAAAAATAATTAGGAAACTCCAATTAAAGAATCTCCATCTGCTCAATCCATTAGATAGCAGCAATTAGACTAGTTAGATAGTGAAAGATTATAAAGATAGCAGGCTTAATAATAATAAGACAAAAATAATTAGTATTCACCGATAGCCTCAACATTGAAGTCGGAGTCAAAATAATCTCAAATATCCAATACTCATATTAAGCTGATTCCTAAGAGATTAGATAAACCAGAATATAATAAAGAAACACCATAAAAAGCATAGATTTCCTAAAATTCAATTTAAAATCGAACAATTTCTAGGAATAATGAAAAATCATCTGAAAAATAATCAATATCTGCCCATAAGTAGTCTCAATTTTCTATTGATAGCTATTCACCTGAAAAATTTGCCTAAGATTCACACTAAATTGGCAATGTAAAATTAGAAATGAGAATAAATATGGAATAATTACACAAAAATTACCCATTTACTAGATTAATACAATAGATTCATAATAGTCTCAAACTTATTGAGCATGAAAAGGATTTATTATTCAGCAAAGCTTAAGATTTTAACATCTTAGATGCATTCAGAGCATTTGATATTGATAATAAGGGATATATTTCGCAGGTAGAATTAATATCAGGTTTACTCGAGATGAAAATAGAACATTCGTAATCTGAATTAAACACTTTCTTCAAATACTATGATTCAGAAGGATAAAAAAAGATAAGGTTTGCTGATTTCAGTAGGGCTTTTCTTCCATCAGATAAGGACAAAAGTCTTTAAATCTTAAAGAGAGACCCACTTAATGTTAAGGTGATAAAGAGACCTACATTGATGTTCCTCAAGAATACATTTTTACAATACATTGTCGTGTGGAGAATATTGCTTAGGCAAATGTGGGAAATAGACAATTATAAGAAGAGATATGCTTAAGCTAATTGTTTCGATGTTGAAAAGCCATTCTTCGATATGGATAAAAATAGGCTAGGAAAGATAAGCAAAGATAATGTAACAATTTTGGCTCCAATAATTTTATGAATATAGTTGAAGTAGTACATGATTTAAAAATAGGATGAATAAAGATATAGCGATTAGGATATTGATATGATATTCAATTACTTCAATCGTAGAGAACTACCCTAAGTATCTTTTGATGATGTAAGAGTTACTTGAATAATTTCCTTTATATAGTTTGTTGCTGAGATGATGGTATATTGAAGGAGATTACTAAGGAATAATAATTTTAACTTTTTATTCAAATTACTTTATTTCTAATTTAGTCAGGGATGGGGTTTTGGGGTTTTGGGG